CAAGTGGATGTAAAACCTAAGTTGTTATGGCTTTATCCTCCATGAATTGGTTCAATCCTCTTTTAAAGACAATCCAGGTTGGTGGTCATCACTACATCCAGTGGGAGCGAATACAATACAGGTAACTAGCAACTTACACACATTTAACTTGTGCACATTTAGCTGCACACGCCCGACAATTTAAAAAATGAAAAATAAATAGAGGGCAGTCATCTGGGGAAAAAAGACTTTAGCAATCCCACCTGCCATTAAACCCTATGTGTTTTTAACTATATACGGTTTTGGCTTTACAGGGAATCCCTGAAACATAATCCCAGCGTAAGTTGAGAGTTGCCTGTATTTTAACTATGCACTCTTTGTGGAAATACTTCCTTTTGCCTGTTTGAGTATTCTAGTATTGTACTTCACTGGACAACAATGGGCTCTAAGATTATAAGAGAGGATTTACTTTCTTCACTTTATAATATTATACACTTCTGTCATGCGCCTTCTTACTCATTTCCCCCCTAAAATAAGAAACCCCAAATGTTGTGTAACCTTTCCTCATAGTGGAGCTCCTCCATCTCCTTGATCATTTTGATTGCCCTTTTCTGAACCTTTTCCAGCTCTAGAATATCCTTTCGGAAGTGAAGCAACCAGAACTGTACACAGCATTCCGACTGTGCTTGTACAATACATTTGTGTAACAGCTTTATGATATTGGCAGTTTTATTTTCAGTCCCTTTCCTAATGATTGCTAGCATTGAATTTGCCTTTTTCACAGCTGTTGTACACTGAGCTGATATGCGAGCAGAGTCATCCTGCACAGAAGATGTAGCTTGTCACTGTACATGAGGAAAAGAGCTACACCTGCTGAAATTTCCAACAGTCAAAGGCACAAACTTATTATTTATTGGGTTGGATGATCTTCAGGGTCCCTTCCAACTCTACATTTCTATGATTTATTAACAATCCTTATTTTGCTACCCAGTAACAATTCTCTAGGTGGCATAGAATGCTAGATTTGCTAAGGGTCCAGTTCTATACACACACAAGTGCCTTTGAGTAAGCCTCATTGTATTTAGTGGGGCTTATTCTGAGTAGACATGCATAGGATTGTACTGTAAAAGATAACTATAAACCTGAAATAAATCACCACCACCACCACCACAGCATAAAACCTCCAGCAGAAGAGATGAAAAGCAGTATAGCAAATCTTTTAAGCAACACCAGAAAACATTTTTAACAGGTTTTCAACAGACATTAAAATAAAAAAATAGTCTTCATCAAGCAGCTGAAAGACCACAGAGCAGACCCCATTTTCTGCCAACATTGTGGACAGAAAATGGACCTTGTGGATATAGTAGACAGTGCTCTTTCACTTACAGTCATCATGCCATCTAGGAGACCCGTCTCTGGCTTGGGTGGTGCCTGTAGCCGTTCCATTGACCACTTCTCAATAACTGATGACACTTGTGGATTGTCAATGTTGAGTAAGCGAAATCCAGTCATATTGACTCCACTGTATCTGTAGGGTTCCAGGTCTAGTGCAAACAAATCCTAAAACATCAAGGTTTCATTTTGGGGGGAAATAAAGGAGTAGATTGTATTAATGATAAAAGGAACCATCCTATATATTGAGTCAAGCCAGTAGCCTAGTAGTGCCAACCTAGAGTAGCAATGGATTTCAAAGCCATGGCTCATGAACCAAGGAATTGTTTTTCCTAGCCTTGTACTGTTTTTCCTTGATCCCAAGCTCACCAAAATGGCATTCATTATAAAATCTGAATAGCTTTGATCTGAGTAGGATTTATTTTCCCCACCTTGACTTTAAGCTCACCAGACTCCAAGCTCACCAGAAATGACATTCATTATAAAACCTGAATAACTTTGAGCACAGTAGGATTTATAACATATCTCATGTTTGATTTGTTGGAACATAAAACATTAGATGCTCACAACATTATTTTATAAGCAAGTTTCAGTGCAGTACCTGGTATTGATTTATAATAATGTTACAGCTATTACAAATGAAAAGAAAAGAAAGAAAAGCTTGAAAAATTGGCTGGTCAATGTTAAGAAAACTTTCCAGCCCTGAGAATGAAAAAAGCTTACAGCAGTGTGATGAACAACACAGTTTTAGTACTTATGAGCACCATATTTCTGCTGCCTTGCCAGCTTTGGTAACATGCAGTCACTGTGTCTGATATATGTTTCAAGCTGGTGAAGAAGTAGTTCTGTGTGCATTAGAAGTTTGCAAAGCAGGGATATAATGGAGGCCTTAAGTGATATTATTTTTGTGACACATTTCATAAGCAATGTCATGGACCCCCCCAAAAGTGTGAGACACTTGTCAGGATTTGTTTCAAGGAAAAGTATTGTTGATGCTGATATCAACAGTCTTGCGAAGAAACATTGTCAATCTCTGGCAGGATTTCAGTCACACTATTAAAACTTCACAATGTTTACAATACCGCAATTGCTTCTTTAAATTATAGGATACAAAGCAAAAGCTTGATAGTCTTTCCTATGGAAGGAAAGATTCCATGAGCTAAAACGTGTTTAATTGGCTTTAAGCAACAACAAAGTGTCTCACAAGGGATGACAAATTAGTTTCCTTTCTATATACCTCCTATGTCTTGTAGAACACAGCTAAAAATGTGTCACCTTAAGTATTTTTTATTTAGGAATATTTTTGCCTAGCCTTCATCACATAGCAGTACTAGGATGGGGTAGCATGACTCTAGCACATTAACATTCCACTAACATAGAGAAGCACTGTAATGAGTTAAATAAGATGCCCTAATTTTGAATAGTCTAGATTTGGTTCTCTCCATTTCCCTCCCCCCCCCATTTCCTTAGATATGGTTTTGAAGTATGGATTCACAGGCATACAATTCTATTTTCCCCTATGCAGCACAGAGAAATGAGACTGGGGTGGAAATAGGTTTGGTGAGTGTGACAGATATACTAGGCCACCTCTATTGCAAGATGGCTTTGCTATCAACAGTAATACAGTTAAGAAGCACTTTTCATCTATAATGGTTGACACACAGATCATAGGGGATGAAGGTCTTTAGCTACTACTGCTGTAATGGATACAAATTTATCAAAATGTCTTACCAGGGTTGTAAAAAAGTAGTGATAGTATTCAGTCATCATTCCCATGGAGAGGATCTGTTGAGGAAGCAGATTGGGAAGGAGATAAGCCAGAGAGAGAAGCACAACACAAATAATAAGCAATCTACACGAGAAATTATGAGCATATTTGTATGGCAGGTGACTGCAGGGCTTATATTGCTTTTGCAGATCTACAGAATAGCACGGTGCTGTATGTGGTGCTGAGGGATAATAGCCTCATATCTAGATTGCGCCTTATCTTACTTTCCTTACCTGTATGCTAGTTTAAAAAATGGAAATGGGAAAGTGAGGTTTCATTTTTCAGGGAATGGGTTTGGGACAAGATTTCAAACTTTGGAGTGGAGAATTGTCAGATAAAACAAATTTGATACATTTGTGCGGGTACGTTTTTGGTTTGTACATAATCAGCAGCATAGAAATCAGTAAATAAATACATATGTACACACTGCAGCAAAAATAGGAAGGCATAGATAAGCTCTGGCATTATCTATTACACCCTACAGTTTGAAAGCAATTACTGCTGTGGAAATAGCGCAGCATAGTAGTGTGCTGCAGTTCTCAATCCATCATGGTGATTGTCATTTTTCTCTTTTGCCAAGTACAAAAAAAAATCACACTTCAAAAGATAAGAAGCTTGAGCCTTTTGAGTTAATGTTTTATAGACCATAAAATAAATTATCTGTGAAACTACCAGTAATTAGGTCAGATCTCATGTGCCATGCAGAATCAAGCTGTACACAATAAATGTGAATTGTACAATAAAGTCACATATCAGACCATGAACTACATTTACTGAGAAGCTGTGTTGCTTTGGGGCATAACATAATTAAGGCATTCTATGAAAACTGCTTAAGCAATGACACAGTCTGGTTGGAAATGTTTCACAAATGTTTTGATAAACTTTTCCACAACCTCATTATTATTGATATGCTAGATACTATGGGAAATTAATGTGGAAGACTAGTGAGGAATTGGGTTTGGAGTGTAAATCTGGGTTAAGGTGACTGAATAGATGTTGTGAAACATATACTGTATTTGTATATGGAGTAGGATTAGCTGAGTTTCTAAAAACAGAAAAATGTGTAGAAATTCAGGCATTAGCTCTGGACATCACAATCAGCTACTGTTTCTTGTGACAGGAACAAGCATAAGAGAGATTGGACTCACACAAGAGAACAGGAGAATTAAAGCTTTCACTTGGAATTACAGTTAACCATAATTTAGTGTTATGAGCACATGCTAACATGAAATTACTCTGAAGCTTCATAAGCCATTGTTTGAAGTTGGCTTGTTTCAACAAAGCACAGTACTCATCAGATCTGAATATACAGTTGTGTAAGTCTATTATTGTATAGAAATTGTATGCTTGAAATAATCAAAATATCACACAAATTAGCTTCTAGGAATTGATGTTTAAAAAGAGACAAATTTGATACTCACATTTCAATATTTATGTTCTTTGGTGCTAGCATCAAACATTTTAACTGAAAATGATTATATTTTGGTTTCCCCAAGCTCTGTGTGCTGATACAGGCTTACAAAAATGAAAATCACCCCCGAACTCCCAGTGGAAAGTTCACTAGAAACCTTAAACTAATAGTTCAAATGCAGAGGGCAGGGGTGATCTTTCCTTTTAATGGCCCTTCAAAAGTTACGTCAGGTTTGCTTTGTACCAAATTGTAGGCTGAAGTTTTAAATACTTTACCAGGAATTTCCTTCAGTAAAGAGGATATGTGAATATTCTGCTGTTAGCTAAGCACTAGAAATGACACCAAGCATTGTGTGGTAGAGAGAGACACCAAGCATTGAGAGTTTCTAGTGTATTAAACAGCAATAGAGAAAAAGGCTATTCTGAATTCCAGCAAATGGTCCATGCTTACCTCTTTTATCAGGTTCATAAATCTGGGTCCAAAACGCCACGGCTTATGCCTGTGACACTGCAGGGAGCTGACAGTCATTTGGGAGGCACGCTGGGAAGCCACTGCAACCATGTAAACAGCATCATACACCAGAGCTGCTTCTGTCTGGATGTGGGAAAATAGAAAACACTTTTAAGACAACATGTTTCCCCTTCATTCATCCAAAATATGAGCCCTATGTCTAAGGCTTGTAGTAATCTGTGATTATGTAAGAGTAATGTCTAATTTTAGACATTAGTTTTCGGAACCAGCAAAACTTCTTTGGATCAGGCCCTTAGTGAGCAATTATACATTTAAACGACAGAGGTTTGTTGAGTCTCTAAGACCACTGGATAGAGTTAAAGACTCGTCTGTTTAATGAGACATATTATTATTTATTATAAAACTTCACACACTGCAAATCTTTTGGGAAATTAATAGATTAATTCTATGCTTCATTGACCTACTTACACTACTTATAAATACTAGATAGTTTAGCAATCAAATGTGATCTGAATTTACTAACAGTTCTTAATATAGTACAGATCTGTGATCATTGTTGGTGCACAAATTAGGATTGGCATAAAATCAATAGCTTTGTTTGAGAATAAATTTAAAGTCTTAACCTGTTGTGAGCAGTGCTTCCCATATAATCTTTCAGATCTAGGACCTGGCTTTAACCACAAACTACAAATGGGAGCCAGTTTTAAATTGTTTACCTATAATAACCATCATAAAAACCTAAGATGACCCCTCCTGGATCAGACCGAAGGCTCATCTACTCCTGTTCTCATAGTAGCCAACCATATGTTTTTGGGAAGGCTGCAAGCCAGACCTGAGTACAACAGCACTCTCCCCACTTTCGGCTCCTAGAAACAGTTATTCAGAGGCACACTGCCTCTGCAAGTGGATGTAAAACCTAAGTTGTTATGGCTTTATCCTCCATGAATTGGTTCAATCCTCTTTTAAAGACAATCCAGGTTGGTGGTCATCACTACATCCAGTGGGAGCGAATACAATACAGGTAACTAGCAACTTACACACATTTAACTTGTGCACATTTAGCTGCACACGCCTGACAATTTAAAAAATGAAAAATAAATAGAGGGCAGTCATCTGGGGAAAAAAGACTTTAGCAATCCCACCTGCCATTAAACCCTATGTGTTTTTAACTATATACGGTTTTGGCTTTACAGGGAATCCCTGAAACATAATCCCAGCGTAAGTTGAGAGTTGCCTGTATTTTAACTATGCACTCTTTGTGGAAATACTTCCTTTTGCCTGTTTGAGTATTCTAGTATTGTACTTCACTGGACAACAATGGGCTCTAAGATTATAAGAGAGGATTTACTTTCTTCACTTTATAATATTATACACTTCTGTCATGCGCCTTCTTACTCATTTCCCCCCTAAACTAAGAAACCCCAAATGTTGTGTAACCTTTCCTCATAGTGGAGCTCCTCCATCTCCTTGATCATTTTGATTGCCCTTTTCTGAACCTTTTCCAGCTCTAGAATATCCTTTCGGAAGTGAAGCAACCAGAACTGTACACAGCATTCCGACTGTGCTTGTACAATACATTTGTGTAACAGCTTTATGATATTGGCAGTTTTATTTTCAGTCCCTTTCCTAATGATTGCTAGCATTGAATTTGCCTTTTTCACAGCTGTTGTACACTGAGCTGATATGCGAGCAGAGTCATCCTGCACAGAAGATGTAGCTTGTCACTGTACATGAGGAAAAGAGCTACACCTGCTGAAATTTCCAACAGTCAAAGGCACAAACTTATTATTTATTGGGTTGGATGATCTTCAGGGTCCCTTCCAACTCTACATTTCTATGATTTATTAACAATCCTTATTTTGCTACCCAGTAACAATTCTCTAGGTGGCATAGAATGCTAGATTTGCTAAGGGTCCAGTTCTATACACACACAAGTGCCTTTGAGTAAGCCTCATTGTATTTAGTGGGGCTTATTCTGAGTAGACATGCATAGGATTGTACTGTAAAAGATAACTATAAACCTGAAATAAATCACCACCACCACCACCACCACAGCATAAAACCTCCAGCAGAAGAGATGAAAAGCAGTATAGCAAATCTTTTAAGCAACACCAGAAAACATTTTTAACAGGTTTTCAACAGACATTAAAATAAAAAAAATAGTCTTCATCAAGCAGCTGAAAGACCACAGAGCAGACCCCATTTTCTGCCAACATTGTGGACAGAAAATGGACCTTGTGGATATAGTAGACAGTGCTCTTTCACTTACAGTCATCATGCCATCTAGGAGACCCGTCTCTGGCTTGGGTGGTGCCTGTAGCCGTTCCATTGACCACTTCTCAATAACTGATGACACTTGTGGATTGTCAATGTTGAGTAAGCGAAATCCAGTCATATTGACTCCACTGTATCTGTAGGGTTCCAGGTCTAGTGCAAACAAATCCTAAAACATCAAGGTTTCATTTTGGGGGGAAATAAAGGAGTAGATTGTATTAATGATAAAAGGAACCATCCTATATATTGAGTCAAGCCAGTAGCCTAGTAGTGCCAACCTAGAGTAGCAATGGATTTCAAAGCCATGGCTCATGAACCAAGGAATTGTTTTTTCCTAGCCTTGTACTGTTTTTCCTTGATCCCAAGCTCACCAAAAATGGCATTCATTATAAAATCTGAATAGCTTTGATCTGAGTAGGATTTATTTTCCCCACCTTGACTTTAAGCTCACCAGACTCCAAGCTCACCAGAAATGACATTCATTATAAAACCTGAATAACTTTGAGCACAGTAGGATTTATAACATATCTCATGTTTGATTTGTTGGAACATAAAACATTAGATGCTCACAACATTATTTTATAAGCAAGTTTCAGTGCAGTACCTGGTATTGATTTATAATAATGTTACAGCTATTACAAATGAAAAGAAAAGAAAGAAAAGCTTGAAAAATTGGCTGGTCAATGTTAAGAAAACTTTCCAGCCCTGAGAATGAAAAAAGCTTACAGCAGTGTGATGAACAACACAGTTTTAGTACTTATGAGCACCATATTTCTGCTGCCTTGCCAGCTTTGGTAACATGCAGTCACTGTGTCTGATATATGTTTCAAGCTGGTGAAGAAGTAGTTCTGTGTGCATTAGAAGTTTGCAAAGCAGGGATATAATGGAGGCCTTAAGTGATATTATTTTTGTGACACATTTCATAAGCAATGTCATGGACCCCCCCAAAAGTGTGAGACACTTGTCAGGATTTGTTTCAAGGAAAAGTATTGTTGATGCTGATATCAACAGTCTTGCGAAGAAACATTGTCAATCTCTGGCAGGATTTCAGTCACACTATTAAAACTTCACAATGTTTACAATACCGCAATTGCTTCTTTAAATTATAGGATACAAAGCAAAAGCTTGATAGTCTTTCCTATGGAAGGAAAGATTCCATGAGCTAAAACGTGTTTAATTGGCTTTAAGCAACAACAAAGTGTCTCACAAGGGATGACAAATTAGTTTCCTTTCTATATACCTCCTATGTCTTGTAGAACACAGCTAAAAATGTGTCACCTTAAGTATTTTTTATTTAGGAATATTTTTGCCTAGCCTTCATCACATAGCAGTACTAGGATGGGGTAGCATGACTCTAGCACATTAACATTCCACTAACATAGAGAAGCACTGTAATGAGTTAAATAAGATGCCCTAATTTTGAATAGTCTAGATTTGGTTCTCTCCATTTCCCTCCCCCCCCCCATTTCCTTAGATATGGTTTTGAAGTATGGATTCACAGGCATACAATTCTATTTTCCCCTATGCAGCACAGAGAAATGAGACTGGGGTGGAAATAGGTTTGGTGAGTGTGACAGATATACTAGGCCACCTCTATTGCAAGATGGCTTTGCTATCAACAGTAATACAGTTAAGAAGCACTTTTCATCTATAATGGTTGACACACAGATCATAGGGGATGAAGGTCTTTAGCTACTACTGCTGTAATGGATACAAATTTATCAAAATGTCTTACCAGGGTTGTAAAAAAGTAGTGATAGTATTCAGTCATCATTCCCATGGAGAGGATCTGTTGAGGAAGCAGATTGGGAAGGAGATAAGCCAGAGAGAGAAGCACAACACAAATAATAAGCAATCTACACGAGAAATTATGAGCATATTTGTATGGCAGGTGACTGCAGGGCTTATATTGCTTTTGCAGATCTACAGAATAGCACGGTGCTGTATGTGGTGCTGAGGGATAATAGCCTCATATCTAGATTGCGCCTTATCTTACTTTCCTTACCTGTATGCTAGTTTAAAAAATGGAAATGGGAAAGTGAGGTTTCATTTTTCAGGGAATGGGTTTGGGACAAGATTTCAAACTTTGGAGTGGAGAATTGTCAGATAAAACAAATTTGATACATTTGTGCGGGTACGTTTTTGGTTTGTACATAATCAGCAGCATAGAAATCAGCACTAGTGAATGAAGGAATAGTGGTATGCTTTGTTTTTAACACATGTTGCTGCTTTCCCACTGTAAGGTTGTACTCCCTGTCCATAGCCCCCAATTCTCCTTCTGAGGGGAGAGCTATGGGGAAAGCAGACACACATACTCTGGAACACTGGATGAACCAGTACCTCCCCCCCCCTTCAACAACAGCAAAACACTTTCATGTATTGTCATTTTTATTGAGCATATTTATTCGATCATGGAACTCAAGGCAGCATGCACGGGGCTTCCCAAAGGGCCCTCCCTATAGACCAGGCTTCCTTGACCTCAGCTCTCCAGATGTTTTTGGACTACAACTCCCATGATCCTAGCTAGCAGGACCAGTGGTCGGGGATGATGGGAATTGCAGCCTCAAAACAGCTGGAGGGCCGAGGTTGAGCCTGCTCTAGACACTGATCAGCCCCAGGCCCCCAGGCATGCTTAGCTATAAGATGGAGGCGTCATATGCCTTCAGACCATGCACCAGCCAGTCAAAGTCTTACCAAATTGTGATTATGAATATCGTAATATTCTGATTTAGAATGAGAATATCAACAACAACAACAACACAATGGTAACTGCTCCATTACACCTGAGGAAGCCAAGACTTGGAAGCAGCTTATAATGTCCTTGTCTCTACTCGGGGAGTGGGAAGGGTATGGTAGAAACAAGCTTCATCAAGGTGATAATGCTTGATTTGTGAAACAGAGTCAGTTCCAAGCTACAGAGTAGCAGATAACAGCTGCTGTTGTATTCAAGTGCTCCCCGTATAGTATGAACTCATATTGCTATCCTGGGGTGGCCTCCTTCTGCGCACAAGCTTTTAGTGTAAATGTACAGCAATAAATTTGACAGAGTAGCCAAAGAAATTGTTCTTTAAATGGTGAATGCCTATGGAGAATTGATTGCTCGAAGGAGCCACAAAAAAAGCTAAAAGAATGATTAGGCATAGCTTTCAAGGCTTAATATGTTTCAGATCTATGTAACTTAAAGGAAACTCTCTGTGGGAGGTACAACTTTCCCTGAGAATGAAAATAACACCTTTAGCGGTCACACACTCATAGCCACATCCTGACTCAACAGCACAGCTAGCAAGCTAGAACCTCAAGAAAGTGGTTGGTTTTGCTGTACACACCACCACCTCTTCTCTCAGGTCAAAGATGATTACTAACCTCTGCATCCTTCCATTCTCTCTGGCAGGCTTCCTTCAACCCCCCTTTTTATGCCTTTCCTCCAAATCCAGAAAAGTTGTCAGCAGAATACAGAATAAAAGTCTTGAGGCTGATAAATTAACTGGAAAATGCAGGTGTCTGACTCCCACTAACTTTGAAACTCAGATCAAAAGACACAAGCTTAGCATGCTTAGATGGTTCAGTTTTCATCACTAGTAAATTCTTTCCGTAGAATTTTTTGGTTCAAAGAATTTAAGAATATCACAGACTGAGCAGAGTTATAAGATCTGTTGACTGAACAGCTTGGTGATATCTGTTGGTATAGATACCACCAGCCAATTTTCTCCAGATCATAGAGGTTACAAACTCCATCAAAGAAGTATTAGATATGAATTCAATGTTGTCCGGGGCTTTACTTAATAACATGAAATCATATCTCCATTACAGATAGGATTCAAGCAAAATATCATCTCTCCCTCAGCTAAACACACACACACACACACACACACACACACAACGACCATCCATAATATTCTGCTGTATGACGTATAAAGGCTTCAGATTTCCAGGCTATAATCATACTGAAAATGGAATTCTCTCTCTGCAGTTTACCCTTGGGGAAAATTCAAGCAGCTATACTTATAATTACTTACTGCTTTTCCTTGCTGTTTGAATATGACAAGGGTAGTTATTCTTTGGTCACAATATGTCAGAAGTGGCCGTATTAGCCCTTGACTAGAAAAACTGAGTAGAAAATTAAACTTTCTCAGGTGAAGAAAGAAATAATATCCTGAGGAGAGAAAGCAGTGGTGGCAGGAGGTGGTTTGAGATTTTGCTTTTGTTGTGCACTTGTCATGAAGGAAAATTTAAACTGGCTAGTATTTGCAAATAAATAGATAGATGATAGATAGATAGATAGATAGATAGATAGATAGATAGATAGATGATAGATAGATAGATAGATAGACAGACAGACAACATTTGTGTTTCCATAATACTAGAGGAGGGAGGAATACTGTTATTAACCTTTCTAATATTCCAACTCTGGGCAACCCAGCTACTCTCCAGATTTCTCATTGCCTCACTGGGACATCAGCTTCTTACCTATTTTTTTGTTCTATTTCTTTCTTACTTAATCACCTATGATCGAAAAGCTTCTCGGTTTCCTCCAGCTCTGACAACTTCCCAGAAAGATACAGCAGTGGTGTCCCTCATGAACACTAAACCCTAAACAAATAATAAACTCCATAGAGTTGATTCCCCAGATAAGCACAGGTTCTAATCTATACTTGATTCATCTAATCCAACTCTGCTTTGTTAATTGCATGATCTTCATCACCCAAATAGGGCTTCAATACTCTCTATCCTGGGAGAAACTGCCTGATACTGTGAAGCAGAAGTGGGTTGGTTTAAGGTGGAAATGGGATTTGCTGAGCTCAGGTGATGCTAAACAGGGATCAGCAACCTTTTTCAGCTGTGGGCCAGTCCACCATCCCTCAGACCATGTGGTGGGCTGGACTATATTTTGAAGAAAAAAATAATGAATGAATTCCTATGCCCCACAAATAACCCAGAGATGCATTTTAAATAAAAGCACATATACTACTCATGTAAAAACACCAGGCAGGCCCAACAAATAATCCAGAGATGCATTTTAAATAAAAGGACACATTCTACTCATGTAAAAACACGCTGATGCCTAGACTGTTTGCAGGCCGGATTGAGAAGGCGATTGGGCCGCATCTGGCCCCCGGGCCTTAGGTTGCCTACCCCTGTGCTAATAGTTCTTGTGACTCTACCCTTTATGAAGGCTATGCTATACATGAGATCCGCCACAACTTTTTGAGGCAGAAGAAAGGTGGTATCAAAGATATATCAGAAGTCTCACTGTGAATTGATGAAAGGAAGATATTACCTCTGTGGGCCTTCTCAGTAGTGGCGCCCACCCTGTGGAACACCCTCCCATCAGATGTCAAGGAAATAAACAACTATCTGACTTTTAGAAGTCATCTGAAGGCAGCCCTGCTTTAGGGAAGTTTTTAATGTTTGAAGTTTTATTCTGTTTTTAATGTTCTGTTGAAAGCCGCCCAGAGTGGCTGGGGAAGAAATTATAAATTATTATATGTGACAGGGAGAAGAATTTTCATGTCGTGATAAAAAGACACCCTTGAAGAAAGAATAGAGGACCAAGGTTTGTTGAAAGAATATACTTATGTGAAACTGTAATGCTGCAATCCTACACGAATTTCAAAGAGGTAAGCCCTGTTGAACACAGTGGGAATAATTTCTTAGAAAACTTATTACGGTTTTCATGTACAAGAAACATCTAATTATCTGCATTCCACAATTGTGTAAAACTCCAGTATTCGGATGTCTATCCAGATATGAGGTTTCTATCTCAATTTTTTTTGCAAAAGTCTGCCTCTAATATACTCCAGCTCTTTGAAGAGCTCATAACTGTGTATACAGCCTATGCAAGAACAAGTGGTGTGCATGCACACAGACAGCAGACAAAGAGATGTGTTTGGCATGAAATGCCAATCCAAGGCCTCACACGTATGTGTTGTTGTTTAGTTGTGTCCGACTCTTTGTGACCCCAAGGACCAGAGCACACCAGGCACTCCTGTCTTCCACTGCCTCCCACAGTTTGGTCATACTCATGTTAGTAGCTTCGAGAACACTGTCCAACCATCTCGTCCTCTGTCGTTCCCTTCTCCTTGTGCCCTCCATCTTTCCCAACATCAGGGTCTTCTCCAGGGAGTCTTCTCTTCTCATGAGGTGGCCAAAGTATTGGAGCCTCAGCTTTAGGATCTGTCCTTCCAGGGCTGATTTCCTTAAGAATGAATAGATTTGATCTTCTTGCAGTCCATGGGACTCTCAAGAGTCTCCTCCAGTACCATAATTCAAAAGCATCAATTCACACATATGTAGGCTATGCTAATCTTAATTTGAGCAGGAATTGTGGGCATTCTACTCATAGAAGGCCCAATCATTCATTCTTCCTCGAATAATCACATTATCACAGGATCCTGGTGGGCAGGGGTACCAACTTGAATAAAATATGGGGGGGGGTGATTGGCAATGCCCATGAACAGTGCACCAACAAGTGCACTGTGCTGGGCTTATAAATTTTAGGAGGGAAGTTCCTGCTCCTAACCTCTGGTGGCTGCAACATAATTACATTCACATACACATAGTCAGGTATACACATTTGCACTTCAGCCTACCATTCATGCTATTCCTGCAGGATGTATCTCAGCACAATAGCAGATCAGGCGCTAAAGAGCTTTACAGCCTGATTTTCTTGGTTGGGATCCTAACCCAGAACAACTATAAGGAAACTCTCAATTTAGAGAGCTTACCCTCAGCTGCTGGTTCTGACTGCTACGCACGTACAGGACATCATTAAAAGCTGCAAGAGCCTCTCCAGGCACAGGGTAGGTAACCTTTGAAATCTTCCACATGTTCATAGCCTTTAAATCGGCTTTTGAGAGATGTTCACACAGGTTTTGCTTGTCCAAAAGGGGCTCAGAGAGAATCCCACTGTTGAAAAATAGCTGCTCAACACAGTGATAATGATTCAAAATCTAATCCACCTGAATGCGGTTTTATTGCTTCCCAGAAGCTGAAAAGCAGATGGCATGATAACTTTGATAGAAACAAATGGGCATTTTCTTCCTTCTTACCTGTTTAAGGATTTCTGCTGCTGTTTCATGTGAGCAATCAAATATCACATAGAACTCTTTGCCCTTCTTCATCTCCTTGAGTAAAGGCCGGGCATCTTTATTCCCAGAGGGCAACTGCCGGATTTTGATTTTAATGTTGTATCTAGAAGGGGCTTTGATGAGTTCTTGCAGGCGAATTAGACCTGGAAAATGACACCCAATCATTCAAATAGCTGCTCTGTGCAATGAATCTTCACTGTCATTTAGACTCAACATTTAATTTCACCATTCCGCAATATATTTCAAATTTACTCCATATAAAAGCTTAATGTGTTAGCATATCATTTATCAGATCTTTCACTGGTGAAGCTTAAGGAGTTTCTTTTTGCTTTATGGGCACCTTCACCCAGGAAAAAAACACACCCTGAAAATCTATTTAGAAACTTATTGGTACATAATTGTTTACTTATTAAAATTATACCACACCCTCCTCCCAAAAGAGCACAGGGCCTCTTTCTCTGAGCCTCAGATCACAATATCCTTTAATATTAAACAAGTCACACTCTGAAAACCTAGCATTTAATTTACATTAAAGATCAGTAAGCAATGAAATAATAAAGAAAGTGCAATGAAAGGCCTGCCCTTCTGTTTTGTGGATCACATTTTAGTGAAAGTGGATTGCTGTGACTCTTGGCACTATGTAAGCATTTTGTGGTCAACTTCTATGTGGTAAGAGAACCAGTCAGGAATCCAAAGACAGGTCCAGTTTAGCAAGGTGTTGAGATGAATGCTGGTCTGATATTTCAGCCAACATTTAATTTGCACCCTCCCCTCCATGAATGGTCAAATGGAAACTGGGGAGGGTTGTGTTCTCTGTCTGTTTTCTGTTTCCTTAAGTCAGCATTGTGAAATGGTGAAGTGGAATATCTGTTTGATTTTAACTTCTTGTCTTTCCCAGCTTTAAACTTCTCTGTCACATTGTTGGAGGGCTACAAAATTATTCTCTTTGCTCCTCTTTGCTCCATGTAGTTTATCAGGCCAGCTGTGTTTGCTGGAGTTACTGGACACTCCAGAGAAGGCCGACAAACTTCAAAAAGCAATTTAAAGCATTGTTCAGATGGGAGACATGTGACCATGGTGGCCAACTTCAAGACTCAGACAAAAATGGAACCAGGAGGAGTTGGGGAGAGGCAAAAAAACCCCCACAGTTAGCCATGTGCCCAAAACTAGAGTAGCTGGTGTAGGAGTGCAGTGGCCGTTGCTAGCTGGGCCTAAGGGAGAAACAAGAGGGCATAGAAACAGAAGTAGTTGCAAAAATATCCATTCTAGAAAAACCATAGAAAGAAATGGATATTGAGTAGTGTGGAATAATCAGTCATATATAACCAACATGTTCTAATTAATGCATGAAGGGGTTAAGACCATAGAGTAAGCTGTCCTGCCAGGCTTAGTTAGGTCACTCTTCTCAATTTGGGAATAAGGATTATCTAGCCTTTGCCCTTCCCATTCCACCATGTGACCCTTACCAGTAAGGAGTTCTAAGATGGTTGCTCCAGCTTAGCTGTGCGGCTTAAGCAAGTCTCCTTTATGTTTCTATACAAATAATTTAGAAACAGCCACCTTTTATAACCTACTTTTTATTGCTTGTGTTTTCTAACTGCTTTATGGGAAAGCACATGAATCTAACCTTTGAAGAGTTTGTAAATAAACCTTTTTTTAACTTAACAAACGTGTGGTCTCTTTCTATGCTAAGGGAAGAGGGTAATTTAGGAAGCAACTTAGAAGAGGATATTTTAAAGGTCTAACAACCTACACTTTACTTTGCTGCATATTTTGTGATTTTAAATCTCTGCTTGGGTTTACTCTCTCACTAAGAGTACTTTCCCCAAACCTGGAAATTCTCCCTTTATTTGCATATCTTTAACCAAATCAACAAGTAGCAATAAGTGTAGAACTGAATAGCAAAGGGATGCCTAGGGTATCACTGTCCAGAGCCCTGGAGGTCAGCAGACAGAACACACCTGCCAGTTTTCTAAGCCTTCACCTCTCTTGAAAATAGAGCTATCTTTCAACCTGTCCTGAGTTGAATAATTTGGCCATGGTTGACAAAAACAGTCACTGTCCTGTAATGCAGAAATAAACGGGGTGGGGGTGCAGGATGATGGATTCCATTGACTTGAGTCAGGTGTATTGCACAATCCTATAATTATTCAAAAGTAAGCCCAACTTGATTCAGACATACTTCCTAGAAAGGGTGCTTACAAATATATTCCAAATCTGTTTATAGCCAAATATGGGTGCAAATATTTAAAATACACTAGGTTGCTGTCTGTTGAGGTCAATAGGTAAATAATCCTCTGCTTTAAAAAAAGACATTCAAGAGTTTCTTTAGTATATTGCAGCCTCTGTCCAGTTATGTACAAAATTTGTTTACTCATTCATACACATAAACACACCCTTATGATGTTCTCCAATGAAGCCAAAGGATAATGGGGCTGTTTAGAAAAAGATATTGAATTAAAGCAGGAATCGCCTAAAAGCCCTTTTGACAAATGGTAATTTTGAAAATGAATCATCAGCCTGCCAGCACATTTGATTTACTTCCTGTGCAAACCTACTTAGCATCTCTGGCATTAGAAGTGCACTAATAGAATGCAAGCTGAAGTATAAAGCAGCATAAAGTATCACCCTATTTCCTCTGATGTGAAGTGGTGATTGCTATGCTGCGAGCTATTGGCTTTAGCTCAAGGCCTCGCATTGCATGAGGAAAATTGACTTTTTTCCTTGGTAGACTGATTCTCTCCTTTCAGTTTTTAAGCATCCACAAACCAATACAGAATATGAACCATTATGATTATTCAAGTGGAAATTGTAGTAGCACGATACAAAGCATAGTTTGGCTGCTAAAAGGGAGGCCTCAAACTGCAACATTCAGGTTCACAGGCTTCCTGAAAGGACTTTTTATACAGTTGATGAGCTAGCAGAGGGAAGCTGGCTGTAAATCCACAGCTCAGCTGTATTAAGCAGCAAAGAACCCGGTTCAGCCACTGTGACACAAGTTACATTAACAGAGAAAAATGGGGCTTCAGGCACAATAATTTCAGGTGTAATTTCCGTTTACTGATAAGAACTCTTTGGCTCAAAATGATCCCTTTGTCATATACTGTCCTGTGGCAGCAAAAGTCCGCATAATAGCTACCGGCGAGTTTTAAGGAAATGAATTCATTAAGGAAAACGTCTGATCCACAATTGATGTTCAGAAAACACGTGGCCATCTATATATATATACTTGCATTCATGTGCAGTGGCAAGAAATTCTTCCACAAAGGAACAGTAGAGAAAATAGAGAAAATATATACATTCAGTCTCTTTTTTGATATAAAGTTGATAAATAATAATAAACAACAGTGTGTTTTAAAAAGTGTTGTGATGCCTACCTGTACTGTCTTCGTATACTACAGTTATTATCTTCCAGTTGTAATATAGCACCAAATCCAATACTGCTCTGCTGATGGCTGCATAGTCTGGGTAGAGGTTGATGTAAAAGGAATCTTTGTTATCCACCGTAGGATGTTTCCATCGGGTCTGTATATGTGGAACTTCAAGTGCATTGCAGATAGATTGTACCGCACTGACTGATGAGCTGTGAGATGGTCCAAAGATGGCAGCTACCCCAAGAGCAAGCTGATCACATGCTGTATGAGAGAGGGATAATGAAAAGACCAATTATGCTGTAGGACCATTTTACGCTTTTGCTCCTTTGTCTAACTGAATAGGTGGAATTGCTGAATTTGGGGGGAAATGAGTTCAAAATTGGGGGGGGGGGAGCAAGGGCCAGCTCATCAAAACTTTATACCATCATTGTTTTCAACTACACAGATGGGATACAGCCTATTACAAAACCCCAAGAAATTCAAATAAAAATAATGCAAGGGTTTCACTTCATTACTTTTAAACAGGGCTGACTTCAAATCCCTCAGTCACAATTGTGAGACATTCAGGAGCCCTGAGCTGTTCTAGTAATGTATTCACCCAATGAAAGTCTTATGAATTATGATGCATGGCACAGTGACCATAGATACATTTCATTGCAATAGGCACAGCAAGGATTTCCAAGCTACCTGACAAATTGCTATCCAAGGGTGTTATAGTTTGTTAATTTCAAGGCAAACACTCATAGAGGATAAAGGGTACTATTATTCATGGTGACACTTTATGTTGTGAGATGTACTCATTTTATGTGGACCTTTGAGGAAAGCAAAGATGGAACTAGAGATTTGCACATTACACTAATATTTATCATGCATTGAATCATCTTTTAAAAGTGAGAATTCTAGTAATGTGAAATCAAAATAACATTTTACATGTTGCTCTCGTCTGAGTCCCTGATAAAATGCAAATTATTTTATAAGAAAGACTGGAGTCATTTTAATATCCTTGAAATAGCATTTATGATTCATGCTTAATTTTGCTTCTTTCGTGATAAATTATAATATATTGAGGAACAAATAAGAGAAATTCTTACTGATATTTAAAATTCCTTTAAATATCTATATGCTGATTTCAAATGGCCAAACGGTCAGTTTAATCCGGCCCCTGTGGCAGTTTACCTCCTGGGGTAAAAACCTCAACAACTTCAAACCCAAAAAAGCTCAACAACTCAACAACTTTGGGGTAAAATCATAAAAAAGGTCAACAACCTCAATCCTAAATAAGTCACAACTTTGGTTGGCCCTTACGGCCCTTCACTTCATCAAATCAGACTCTCTTTGTAAAAAGTTTGGACACCACTGGATTGCATTAAGACACTTAAAGGTATTGCTGATGAATACTCTACCACTGAGCATCTAAGGAAGCGGTGTGCAGAGTCAGAGCCAAAGTGGGCCCATCACCCCTTTTCTCTCAAATTCTCTATTCCTCTGCTGCTGCTGCAGAAGGGACAGACCACTCTTGCAAGAGGCCTGAATGGATCACTTGCAAATTGCTTTTGAAATTAGGCTGAAAGCCACATGAAATTAGACTGAGGGCTACATGTGGGCGGAAAGGTGCAGTTTGCCCTACTTTATTTTAAAGGTAGTCAGAAGAAGCACTTAAGAGCCATCCGACCAATGAAAATGAAACCATCCTAAAAGTCCTTTTCTGAAAAGTGTCCTTCTGAAAGCCATGAGCCTGTTCTGGCTTTGAAACTGGGACAAAAGCAGATGTTCTGAACGGTTCTACAGTCATACAGTGAAGAACTTTGCATGGCCAGCCTTGCCATTAGAAATTGGAAGAGGCAGTTGATTTGGGATGTCATGCTTTATTGTTGTATGCTTAGCCAAAGGAGAGGTACTTTGGGGATTCATCAGGTACCAAAATAACTTGGTCAGCGTTCGGGACTACACATCTTGACTCTGCCTGGGGTAGCTCCATTTGCGGTTTTGTCTGAGACAGAAAAATGTCCTATGTAGCATCTAGTAAAAGACTGTGTGCATGTGTGTGTCACCATGCACTCAACTGCAACTCTATTCACAACTATCACATCTATATAAAGCTACCTGAAGTGACTTGAATGGCAGTAAACGATGACTGCATTTCAACCTGGATACGTCCTTCATCTACTTGCATCAAGTCAACCCTTATTCTCAGCTTACCAATGTAGTAATATGGATTTTATCACCTCAGGCAACTAGCCAACAATGAGAATCTAACTAAGAGGTGAAAGCAAACAGGGTTGATTATCATCACCTATGGAAGAGTTGTCAGAGAAATTGATGGTATGCCCTTAGCCCCATTATGTTATGTTTCAAACTTTTATTATAGTTGTTGTTCTTATTTGTTTAGTGGCCTCGGTTTACATATGCTACCTTCCACAATATAATTTGCAAAAGTGAGGTCTCCACAAGAAGAGTACACTAAATTTAGAGAAGGTAAAGGCAGGTGGAAGAGGAGAGACAAGGTAATAAGGGATGTGGGATACGACTGTCTGATCATGAAGTATTCATACTTTATTCCACAGGGATTAGAATTTTTTGAGCAATTTATTAAATTGTTCCTCAGGATGCCAGACAAGCAAGCATTTAATCCATTTATCTTTCTCTGAAGAAACAAGGCATGTCTGACACCATCTAATCTACATGCAGACCAGAAGTCTTGCCTCATCAAAAAGCCCACTTGGGACTGTTGATTTTTCTTAGGCACAACTAGTCATTCACCTCTTAGAGGCCTTCTTGACATATATCATATAAATGGTAATTTATCTCATGGTCCTTTGAAATAAAGACCTGTACATTTTCTGATGGAACCACATGTGGCATCAGAGTCATGAATTACTAAGAAAGGATTCAGAATGCGCTCTGCAAATGTATTCACTACATAATGGACTTCAGTTTCTGAGAATCAAATAGGTTTACTAGCAAATAAGTTTATGAAACCGTCTACCATGCTGCTGCTGCTACTCACATAAACTTATTACAATCTTGAAATCCAACAGTGATTTCCAGCAATATTTTCATAAACCTGATTAAGGTAGCTTTTAGGCAGGAAATTTTATTCAGCTAAGGGATCTTTTACTTCTATTTTCTTTAACCATGTTTTAAATAACTTTTTATTTTAATTGTTCCTTAGAAGTTTCAGTGGGGCAGACAACTATTTATTCTGTTACAATTGATGTATTCCTATTTTACCATGCACGTTACCTTGGAAGAATTTTTATTCAGAAGAGTAGGATAAGTTTTCAATAAATAAATAAATGCTCAAAAATGCAGATACAAATGTTCCATTTTAACATTCTGTGGGGCTTTCCTCTATCAATTTTTAATTTAAAAGGTTATTGTTTAGAAAAGCTTTCTGCTTTCAAGGTTATACCATTACAGGCTGACTTGATTGAAGTAGACTTTTGTGATTCAAGTAGACTGTGGTCTAGGGGCATTTTGTCAATACTCCTATATGGTCAGGGCTTAATTAAAAATATTTTACAAAAATTCACACTCAGAAACACAGGCAAAACAAATGCAAGGATAGTAACCAGTCTGCTCTCTCAAAATATTGATAGTATGTCTGTGGTGCACATCAATACTCACAACCCTTTACAAATGCTTGAAGATTAAATACTGAAATACTACATGTCCCATATTGTAGAAAGGCTGCTCATTTATAAGCAGGGAAGAGAGAAAATGTTTGATTTTCTGTCGCATACTATTACTATCACAGAGCTAAATATTAGCAAAGAAGATCAGCTCAGCATGGCTCTCTAGATATTTCAATATCGCAAGCAATTACAGCCATTTCAAATCTTATACAAAACAAAGAATTAGATTGTTTCATATAATTATGCAGTAAAGGCCTAGGTTGTGGTTGAAGAAATATGCTTGCCTGGGTGTGTTGTCACAGATTATACTGGAAAAAACCCAACCTATTTGACATTTATTAGCTAAATTTAGCTGCAATAAACTGACTACAAGGAAAGACAGAAATTTTTAGAGGCAATGTGGGCACAACATTTGAGAGTCACTTGGAAAGTTACCTCGTCTTGAAGCTTCAAAACTATCAAAAAGGTTAATTCTCTGGATGTCATAGGTTAATGTGGTATTAGGCATCAGTGTTCTGTTTCTGTTAATGTTGGTGACTGCAAATTTGAAAGCTAACTCTTCCACGTTGACAGGTTCATTTTCCACAGTTTCAAATATCCCGCCTGTGAAAAATAAAGAGACAAAAAAATAAGCTTTAGTCATGTTTTAGCTTGTCTTAGCATGTCATTACATACAACACCAATCTAAATGAAAATAAGGAATGTCCATTTCAGAACAAGGAATAGAGAAAAAAATCGGTGGAGAGAGCAATTTTATTTCTTGTAGCACCTTGGTATATTGGTATTCAGCTGATGGCTTGACCATCAGTTGGACAACACAAGAGGATAATGAGAAGGTAAACCGGTTTGAGGTTTTTTAAAAAACCAATCAAATGGTATATAAATTGTTTGAAATAAATGAAGAAGTAAATTTTGATTTCAATCAACCACAGGGTAGTTATGGTTTGTTGAAATAAGCCAACTTCATAAACCATGGTTGGAACAACAAACCAGAGTTTAGATGAACCAGTTTTTCAGGTTCAGATTACATGTGTCCAGAGAAGGGCAACAAAGATAGTGGCCTTCCACCTATGGTAAGCGTGATGTCTGAACCAGGCCTCTATCTTTCAGCCTTTATTGAGATAACAGCATGAAGGAGTATATCACAACATAAAGATTGTAAGTGTATAGTATACAATAACATAACACATATTTTTAAAATTTGAGGTCCAGTTTAAGTGGCACCTGTCATTACTTCAATAAATATCTCTCATGCCCCAGCTGTATGTGAACATGTACTGTAGATAATGCCCCTTAGATTATATCAATCTCATGGCCAAATTCTGTGGAAATGTGGGGCTTGAGAAATGCATAATAAACAGCATATTTTGAAGCAAGTTCTTTAAGCAGCCACATCTAACTGCAGCTCTTGATTTGCATGTATAATTTACTCATTTACTGCTATCCACTAGAGAATACTTTGAATTTTGCAGTCACTTATTTCCCCATGTGAAATTCACAATTCACATATTGCTTAATATTTCCCAGTCAACAAAATATAATCTGCTAATGTGCTGCAAGGGCTCTTTTGCTTTTTATATGTCGCCGGTATAGAGTAGCATAGTCATTATCTGACAATCAGGAAATGGAAATACACAGTAGAATTACAACCTGCTTTACATTTTAACTCAGCAGTCACAATGTTAATAGTTCTTAGAAGAAAATAAGATTGAAATGTCATACACTTTTTAAGCAAGTAACATTAGGTTTACCATTTAAATAACATGTAATTTTATAGATGATCACATCTTAAACAATTTTATTATGTATCCCTCTATATTACAGCTGCCTCACAATTCTTTATCCCATAATTCTTTTAGATAATGAATAATGGCATTACCAACCAGTCTACTGGTCCCTTGGTTCACTCTACTTAGCATTCCCCAATAGTACTTCGTTTGGATTATAGTACCAACTACTGAGCTACATGCTGAAATTAATGTCAGTCAGCTCTGTCCGTCATATTTTTCTCTTATCAGGACTCCTGTAATCTCTGGAAGATTTATATCTATAAGTTCCCTCCAGCCATCAAGAAACATCTGACAGTTCCTTTGTCAGTTTGAACACGAACCAAATAACTTTCATTGCTACTATTTGTCACCGTCCCCTCACTCACTGAGTTGGCATCCACCTTTTGGGATTGCAGAATCCTGCTTTTCCTATAAATGCAAACTTCTTGCAGTTCAGCCAGTTATTTTCCTGCACAAGCTTGATAATAAATAATGGTGTTACAAAAAGGGTCACCGCCTTGCTTGTGATATAGGACTGCCCAAGAGACATTCCATGTAATTTATGAACAAGACAGTAGACATCCTCTTAGATACCCTGGACACACGGAAAGGAAAGAGCCAGGCCTGCATCTTTTCCTTTCTAGTAATCAGTTAGCCTTGAGACACAGCAGCCTAGCATGGTTGAGATTGCAATCAAATAAGGCTCCTTAATCAACTCCAGGTTTCTAATTCAGTATAGTTTATTAGTCCTGCAATCCTAAATTCTTTAGGAGGGCACACCAACAGTCAAAGGGTGCATTGGATCTCCCAATCTGAGGACAGGGAGAGAGAGCTCCAACTTTGGAAAGGGAGATCAAGTGTCATTTTCCCTCCCATCTCTGACTTGTACAACCACCTCTGTGGCTGTTACCCTACTGGTATTGAACTATGATGTGGTAGGAGCAAACAGGAGGTGTGCTGCGAAAAGATATGAAGACCTGGTGACTTTCTAATCACCTGATATTCCTCCAGGCCCAGAAACTTGAGAATTGCCTCTCTCCATATGAATCTACCCAAATCCTGCAATCATCATGCAGGCCCTTCTTTGTGTGTCTCCTCCACAAAAGGTCTGGAGGGTGGCTACATGAGAACGGGCCTACATGTGTTTTTTAAAAAACACATCCACATGATGCCCTTCAGTAGTTCCACAGGTGGGTAACGGGTGTACATTGTACCACCCCCCCATTACCACATTATCCATGGATCAACATTGTCTGGACACAAAAAGAACGTGTACATACAGGGTACATCAGATCCACTTTAATTTGCTGGGTGTACACAGCCTCGTTATTCAATGAAACTAAAGGAAGCCTCCAGACTAACGATTGGAAAGTTCCTCAGCTGTAAGATCAGTCATTACTTACGCTTAGCTTGTGCCATCTTTGTTCATGCCAATATTTAGTCCCTTTAACACCATAAAGTTAAATCACTTCCCTGATTCTGCTGCTTTTGCTTTGGCATTGATTTCCCCCCCACCCCAACCACATGATCTAAATGTGCAAACTATTTATGAGATTATTAGTTCTCCAGTGGTTCGTCTTTGAAAATAAAACACTGAATACACTTTATGAGCTTTCCTGTAGAAGGAATCATGACATATATGCAAGTAACAAATTATTCATCTGTTTCAATATTTACTCAATACCTCACAAGCTTGTGAATCATAATCTCTAGACTGACGGTGAAATGGAAGATTAAAGTGGCAGCCTTGATGGAGAACCCATAAAATGTCAGATGCTGTATATAGGTAAACATAATTAGTGTATCTTAGAAATTAACTGCCTGGAAAGAGCTACAAGGAAGAAACTCAATATAAAAAAGATAATGAAATAAATCATTAAAAATGCTAGGAAAGTCTGTGCATGGAAGTCAGTGTTGATCTTTGGACAAATGTGCAGTTTATAGTAAGTATACATATGAAGATCTGAGTGGAAGGTCTTTAAAGGTAAAGCCTATAATTTCCCAATTCATTTGTTTGATGTAAAATTACAGGTCCATTCTATTACAGGCTTTGCAGCCTAATAAAGGCCTGGAACATTCAGATTAACAGCCACATCCTACGTATGTTTACTTAAGAGTCTCATTGAACTGAATGATGCATACTTTCTTGTAAACGTGCCAAGAACTCCGTCCTGAAGCAATCAAATGATTATTTCAAAATGGACTGGCTAGAGCATTCCTGTGAGACACTAGCATATCCTTTACTCTTTCCAAAACTCTCATAAATTCATGGGAAGAATGTGATATTTAATCCTTTAAGCAGAGGAAGGGAACCTTTACATGCTGCTGGACTAAAAATACCATCAACCAATGGCCACGATGGCTGGTGCTGATGGAGTCCAACAACATCTGAAGGGCCACAGATTCCTTGCCTCTGTTTTAAATGGCACAATAGAAGTGTAGAAAGCTGCTTCATACCAGTGGAGACTAGTTGTCCATCTTGCCCAGCTTTATTCACTCTGACTGGCAGGATGTCAGGCCGAGAAACTTTTGCATAACTGTTACCTGATCTTTTTACCTGGAGATGCCAAGGGTTGACTCTGGGATCTTCTGCATGCAAAGAATGCATTCTAATACTGAGATAAACTCATCCCCACACATACTATGGCAAATGAGCACTTTGGAGTGACGTGTGCTATGGATATATTCCCAAATCTTCCTCTAATTCTGCCCTGATTCTACATGGGCATGATTATGAATCCATTTTGAGTGCTGTATGCTGTATGCAATTCTGGTTACCCAGCTCAAAAAGGATAGTGTAGAGCTCAAAAGTACAGAAAAGAGCAGCCAGAATGATGAAGGTTTTGGGGCATTTTCCCTTACAAGGCAGGCTCAAATGGTTGAGGCATTTAGTTTAGAGGGAAGTATGACAAGAGGGCTAATCTACACTTCCATTTGTCCCATGATTTCTTCCGTTTGTCCCATGATTTCTAGGCATGGGTCCAAAACATTTTTCTTTAGTCCCACCATTTTCTCTGACAAAACTTGCTGTTTATTGCTGAATCAGAACAAATGTCAATCTGCCGAAAACCCAGTTGACATTTGCTTTGTTTCAGCAATAAACAGCAGGTTTTCTCGGAGAAAGAGGCAAGATAAAAGACAGACCTCTTGGAGCCATGCCTAGGATTCATGGGACAAATGGGAGGGTGAATGAGCATATATACAGAATAAGGAATAATAATACATTTGAATTTTTAGCATAAAATAAGCTCCATTGTCCTCTTTCTCTGAATCCTTCCTTACTGCTGTTGACATCTGATTGCACATGTGTAAAAGTATTAAAGAATGAACTAACATCTGATGGATGTTTCAGGTGACTGGACTAAGATGTAGTTACTAAAATCATTATTTCGAAATGTAGTCATGTCATACATCTTGTGTATGCTCTGACCTTGATCTGTCTACAGTAAGTGTCTAGTAAATAAGTCACACTAGAGAACATAAATGCATATACCAAGTAGCAACAGTTTTTGAGACAAAGACAATAACTGATCTGATATTTTACCAAATGTGTTATACTTTGCATGTAAGTGCTCTCAGTTCTATACCTAACATAAATGAACTTCAGTTAAAAGTTAGCAAGGCTGCAAAAAACTTTTGCCTGGTACTTTTGAAGGCTGTTGCAAGTCAGTGTAGACAATAGTGGGCTGTATTAGAGGTGGGTAATGTGCGACCCTTTAGATATTGCTAGACTGCCATCTTCACCATTCCTGAGCATTGTACAAGCTAGCTGGGGCTGATGGTTTAAAGCAGGGACTGGGAACCTATGGCCTTCTGGGTGTTGCTAGATTACAG